ACTTCAAGAATTACTACAGGGCCACAGTGGTCAAAACAGTCTGGTATTGGTAAAATGAGACATAGATAAATGGAACAGAATTGAGAACCCCGAAGTAAATCAATCCACATACAGTCAACTGATCTTTGACAAAGGGCCAAAATACACTGGATGGGGAATAGATAGTCTCTTCAATAAATGGTGTTGGCAAAACTGGAAATCGATTTGCAAAAGAATGAAACAAGACCTATATCTCATACCATATATGAAAACTAGCTCAACATGGATCAAGGATCTAAATGTACCTCTAAAGATTATCAAATGAAAAAATAAGAGACAAACTTCAGGGCTCTAATATATGGCTTAAGAGACTATCAAACAAGGCAAAAAGCACACAGATAAGTGAGGACAAATTAAATTAGATGACTGGGACATAACTAAAAATTAGAAATTTATGTGCATCAAAATAATTCACCAGAGAGTAAGAAGGGAACTCACAGACTGGGAAAAAAATCTTTTGCCAAGACACATCAGGCAAGGAACTAATCTCGAAAATTTATAGGAAACTATTAACACCTCTACAAGAAAAATAAAGACACATAACCCAATTAAAAAAATGGGCACAGGACATGAATAGACATTTCACCAAGGAATACATTCTGGCAGTAAACAAATATATGAAGAAACATTCAATATCATTAGCCATTAGTGAGATTCGAATAAAAATACCAAAGAGATACTTCACACCAGCAGTGACAGATTCAAAAAAGCAGAGGACAACAAATGCTGGCAAGGGTGTGGAGAGACTGGGAACCCTCCTACATTGCTGGTGGGACTGCAAATTGGTTCAACCACTCTGGAGAATGATATGGCGCTTCCTTAGAAAACTGGAATTAGAAATACCTCATGATCCAGCAATTTCTCTACTTGGTACATTATCCACAAGAAGCATAAGACAGAACGCGAGTAGATATATGCACATCAATGTTCATTGAGGCACTATTCACAAAAGCAAAAAACTGAAGACTACCCAAATGCCCATCAAAAGAATGGATAAACAAACTGTGGTACATACACACAATGGAATACAATGCTACCCTGAAGAATAACAACGAAGCTGCAAAATACTGCATAACATGGATGAGCCTTGAGGACACAGTAGTGA